CCTCTATTTATTAGGCACTGGCAACGGCCGGGCCCTCAAACCCTGGTCCATGGCCAGCCATAGCTACCGGGCTTGTCCTGTTCCCTTTCGGCAGCTACCTGGGGCTTGTCCTGGTCCCTGCCGGCCAGAGGTTGCTTTTGGCAGGGCTTGTCCTGGTCTGTGGGGCTGGCCTTGACACCTCTCCCTGGTCCTGGCCTGGACACCTCGATCTCTTGGGCCTCGAAGGCGACGTTAGGCACTGGCGACGGCCGGGCCAGAAACGCCGGACCCCTCAGACCCTGGTCCATGGGCAGCCGGCCATAGCTACCTGGGGCTTGTGCTGTTCCTGGCGGGCAGAGGTTGCTTTTGGCAACTACCTTCGGGCCTGTCCTGGTCCGTGGGGCTGGTCTGGACACCTCTGCCTGGCGCTGGCCTAGACACCTCTACACCTCTATCTATAGGGTTTCGAAAGTGCCTAACGGACTGGACACCTGCGCACTCTCCTTGGACCAATCCTCCTTTGCTCCCCGCTGACTTTGCTGCGCCTTTCATTTTCTGGCTTGCTTCTTGTTTTGGACATGCCCAGACCTGTTGGGATGCTTTGCCAGAGGGTTGACCTGCCCATCTTTGACGTCAAACCGATGGCCACACACCCTTCGATGGTCTATCTCCCCCGTTCTGACGCTACTTGAAACCTTGGCTTTGCACCAGGGACAAGAATATTCAAACACTTTCACAGGCTTGACCACTCCATCTTTGGCGTAAAACCGATTTTCACAGATGGTTCGATGATTTATTTGCCCCGTTTTGACATTGCTTAGTACATTGGCTTTGCACCAGGGACAACAATATGCAAAAACTTTCTCAGCCACCGTTCCTGCACTGACACTAAACCAGCCGGAGCGCAGGAGGCGGTTGTTGTAGTTGAAGTTCCTGTAGATCTGGAATGCCAGAATGGCATTACCAGCACAATTCTTTCTTACAACTTTGGTGAGCAATGTGTCAGTTGCACTTGCTTCACTCACAATGAAGGGTGGTGCCTGAAAATTTTCCTTCACGAAAGTGTCTACATTCGCACCAGCATTGCCATTGCTGCGAGAGTGAGATCTGGAAACAAGGGATGCTTTTCCTGGACTGCTAATTACAAGACCCCGCAAAGCCTTTCAGTGAGGTTCTTTTTATGTTTGAGGTTGTGTGTTGATTGGCTGCTGTCCATGCAGCCTGCTTTGACAAACAACGCGCTTGCAGGGAAGGCCGCGAATCTTTTCTAGCGCGTCCTAAATGCCATGATTCTCGCATGCAGGAATTTACTTGCAAGAGCTCACCTTGCACTGAAAAACTAGATGACGAGTGGCCCGAAAACATTTTTCATCACGTAGGAAGTCAGAGTGCGAGTTATCTGTTAAGCGTGCAGTGTGAAGTGTTAAGTCGAGTGAGTTGAGGTAGTGTGTGGGTCTCTGTGTGTGTATCTATGTCCGTGTGTATATGAGTCTCTGTGTGTGTGTGTCCGAGTAAGTTGAGGCAGTGCGTGGGTCTCTGTGTGTGATGTGTGTGTGTGTATGAGTCTGAGTCCCTGTCTGTGTGTGTATGTCCACGTCTGCTGCTGGTGAAGGTCTTCACTGTACATATAGTGAACGAATTAGCGCGCAGGCCTCCCAAACCCCCCTCTGGCGGCCAAGCGGTGACAGCCCAGCTCATCGTCGTGAGCATTTGGGCTGCTGGTAAGGGGAGAAGCAGCGTGCACGCCTCCACTGAAAAAAGCAAGCTGGAATCAAGACAGAAAATTGCCGAGGCAGGTCGCCAGTTCTCATCTTCCAGCTCCCCAGCTACTCCGCATACTACAGTTGTACTACAAAGTCGCCAGTTCTCAGCTTCCAGCTCCCCAGCTACTCCGCGTACTACAGTTGTACTACAAAGTCACCAGTTCTCATCTTCCAACTCGCCAGATACTCCGCGTACTAAAGTTGTACAAAGTCGCCAGTTCTCATCTTCCCACTCCCCAGCTACTCCGCGTACTAACGTTGTACTACCAAGTCGCCAGTTCTCATCTTCCAGCTCCCCGGCTACTCCGCGTACTAAAGTTGTACTACAAAGTCGCCAGTTCTCAGCTTCCAGCTCCACAGATTGCTCCGCCTAATAAAGTTGTACTAGAAAGTCGCCAGTTCTCAGCTTCCAGCTCCCCAGCTACTCCGCGTACTAAAGTTGTACTACAAAGTCGCCAGTTCTCAGCTTCCAGCTCCACGGATTGCTCCGCGCACTAAAGTTGTACTACAAAGTCGCCAGTTCTCAGCTTCCAGCTCCCCAGCTACTCCGCGTACTAAAGTTGTACTACAAAGTCACCAGTTCTCATCTTCCAACTCGCCAGATACTCCGCGTACTAAAGTTGTATTACAAAGTCGCCTGCACTTCGCGCCCGACACGCCCGATCTCCGCAGAGGGTTGCGCGCGTACAGACTCACTCGCACTCTCGCCTGCATTTCGCGCAATCGACACGCGCGATCTCCGCAGAGGGTTGCGCGAGCAGCCGGTAAATCGCACTCTCGCCTGCGTTTCGCGCACTCGACACGCAGGATCTCCGCAGAGGGTTGCGCGCGCACATACCCCATCGCGCTCTCGCCTGCATTTCGCGCACTCGACACGCACGATCTCCGCAGAGG